GTGAACAATCTCCTCAATCATCTCTCCTCTCTGGGCCTTCACGACCCTCTTCTCTCCTGGCTCTCCTATTGGTCTCCTTTGCCGGCTCATCATCTATGTCTGGTCCCAAAGCCTTCTACAAGGCCCTCTTCTCTTCTCGAGCTATATACTATCATGGTGATCTCCTCAGCTCCCATGGGTTTAATCATCTCTAGGCAGATGGCCCCTCAGTCCACAGATCTCGCCCAGCTTCTGTCTGAAGCTCCAATCTTGCATCATACCCAACATTTCCAACTATTATTTCCACAGGCATGCCCCAAATAGAACTCCTGACCTTTCCCAGGCTCCTCCCTAACTTGCTTATCTGTACTGCATTCAATTAGTCACTACGGTTTGCAACTGCCTCTTCCCTCTTCTTTATCCTGCCTCCCTTTCCCAGTAAGCTGCCAGGTCTTCCTAATTTCACCACTACAGAAAACCTCAATTCTGTCCCCTTGTCTCACTCACAAGGCCACCCCCCAATTCAGGCTTCTGTTACCTTAGACCTACACTACTTCAAAAGCCTACTCCTTTTCATTCTCTTTCTTCAGCCCATCCTTCAAATCGTTACACATAGAAGTTCTTCTAAAACACAAGCCTGAATATTTCAATCACAAAACTGAGTGGCTTCCTATTGCCTTGAGGATAAAATTCAAAGTGAGAACAGAATTTAGGAGTTAGTCAAATCCTTTCTCCAAAAGGAATCCTTTCAACCACATATCCAGCCTTTGCTTGAAGACCTCTCATGAGAGAAAACCCATTACATCCACAAGACAAACCACTGCTCTTTTAGACAGCTCTGCCTGACATTTAATGCCCTTCATAAGCAGGCTCCAAGCTATCTTTCTAAGCTTATGTCAAAGTATACCACCAACCTATCTATATTCCAATGAAACAGCCATACCTGATACCCCCCAAATTCAGCTTGCCTCTGTAGAGGTTCATCCCCCATGCCTGGAGAGTCTTGCCTTACCTTCACCTCTTACTTCTTAAAGGTTCAGCTCACCTATCACCTCTTGACAGGAAGTCTTTCATGATGAACCTACTTGTGAGTTACCTTCATCCTCAAATAATTGTGCATATATTTATCCTTTTATGTTTTATCTTCCCAAAAGAATGTAAGCTCCCTGAAGACAGGTAATGTATTCAATTTGTCTTCGAATTTACATTGTCCTGAACACAATAAGAGCTTAATAAGTGCTTGCTGACTTTATCACTAACAACCTTATACTTTCCCTCAAAGTACAGCTCTGTATAAGTAAGCCTTTCCTGATCCCCTGCCCCCAAGGCATCTACCAGTGCCTTCCTCACAAATAAATGATCTTGTATTTACTTTGTATATACTTATATATTCACATGTTGCCTTCTCCAGAAACAATGTAATCTCTTTGAGGAGTAGTACTGTTGATTTTGTCTTTGTATACTCACTTCCCAGAACAGTACACCGCTTAAAGTAAACACAAATATTGGCTGAATGATTGTGTGGCCATGGGCTTAAGCAAGACTAGATGATCTCTACAACCCCTTCTAGGAAGATTTTGAAATAGATTTTATATTTATGCTTTTCATGAAAATTCAGTTCCCTATTAACTATTTCTTTGAAATTAGTGAGATACTTAAATAGTTTTAAATTCATGATACAGGACACAGTGTGGTATAGTAAGTAGACCCAGACCAGATCTTGAAATCAAGAGCACTTGGGTTCTAGTGCCATCACTACTAATACAAGTTAGCTGTGAGACCTTGGACAAATCACTTAATTTTTTAGGGGTTCAGGAAACTCTCACTATAAATTACCCAACAGTTGCCAATTTAAACTGATAAAAGAGATTTTGGCCAACAGGAACTTCCTATACAAACGAAATCAGTCCTAGACAAAAAAGAATAGCTATTACTATTTATCAGCTGCAGCTTGGATAAGATTTTTTAAAAAGCTTATTGTTAGGCTGAATGAACTGAGTTCAATTTACATGTACCATTTCTAACTCTGAGCAATCTGTTACTAAAAGAGTTAATGGGAAGACTCTAACTTCACTATAATTTAGAGATGAGTATGGATTATTCGATTCATTTTTAGTAATGAACTCAAATTTCAAACACAGCAACGACATGAATTTGTACATCCCATCACTTCTTCACCAAAACATTAATTTACATATATGAAATCCCCCATTCTTTCATAAGAAGTGCTATTCCTAATAAGAGGTCAATGACAAAGCGAACCTAGCTAGTTTTCCAGTATCCATAGAACCTAACAATTCTGAGATGGAAATATTAATCATTGTTCTCTAGCACTTAAAAAATATGAATGGTCTTACCGCTCAGAGGAAATACAGGCGCTTGTCAAACACAACTAAGCGCTCCTCTAAAACTGCAAGGCCTAATATAAGTCACCGAGGTCCAATGTTTCCCAAGATGTGCAGACCTCACTGGCAAACTAAGATTACCTCATAATTGCTCATAGGTCCTCTGTGGACAACTACTTCAAGGGCCATTCCTGCCCCTGTGTTCTTCTAGTCTAGAGTCAAAATACTGCTCAGTTCTCAGTCACAGACATTTTTTGGTTAATATGAATGAGAATTCCCTTCACTCTTCTAAAAAAGCAGTTAGGTTATCGTTAGCCAACTAACAACTTTCTGTTCACTTCTCCTCCCCTTCCCATTCTGAAATGCCCTGCAGTCCCCTTTCCAAGTCCCTGCCTCTCCTGCAAATAACTTTTGTTAACAGCTTTGGATACTTGATGTCTGTTACAGAAAACATCAAAATTTGCGAACATAGGAACAGAACTGGTACGTGAATACAATAGTCTGGACGATTCTATTGCCTCATCAAGGATTCCAAGTAAGCTACTCCCCTAAGGAAAAAAACCTTTTTTTTTAAGATCTCCCAAGAAAGAGGCTCCACAGTCTACTTTTATAACACAGCTCAAAACTGAGCAACAGTCAAGAGAAATGCTTTCCAAACCTGAATTTCTCTATCCTTCATTTCCTTGCACTTTGTTCTCAGCAAACACCAAGCAGCTAGTTTATCATTTTCTAATAAATCTAAATCAAACTCAAGATTATTAATAAATTGTCCTCATTTTCTCTGCTCCAGGACCATTATTTTCAATTTCCTTACGTTTTCCTTATAGTCATTAGCATTCTTTAATTACTAAGTATTCTCAAGCCCCATTTTTTTAAAGAGATCTTTGAAGACCTGAAATCAAATTTATAAAAATTCATTCTGGCTTTGATAACTCTAACTTAAATGGAAGTTTTAAGTCAACTCTTGAACTTCATCAATCTAAATTTCCAATTCAACATTTCATGTATTTCATTGGCCACTATTTCTACCAAATTTTTCCAATTCCTGCTTTATGTTCCATTGACAAATTTAATAGACATTCTCTTTGTCACTTGGGTCATTTAAAAAGGCCAGGAGCAGGAAATATATTTATTTTAAATCTTCTCAGGCTGAAAATGGGCATTGGTAACATTTCAATATGGCCCTTCATTTAATACTGTCTTTAAAAAAAAAAACATTTCCTGGTAATTAAAAGTCAAAATTCTTATTAAAAGTCAAAATCCTTAAGTCAAAATAAGGTGAATCTCCTGCTTTCCTCAGAATTATGAGCCTGAAAGTCTGACATTAATTTCATTATAGAATTATAACTCAAGACTCTTTTTCTGCTATAATTATTTAGCTATCTGCTTAGACTTGACATTCCAAGAGGGTGACAAAGTACAATCCTTACTTATTTGCATGCCAAAATTTAAAAGTTCTTAAATTCTTGAAACTCCTTATTTATTTTGTATTGTCCTAAAAGAAAAATATAAAGCACATCACAGTCAACTTTTTTTAAGAGATGCTGAGATTTAGATTAAAACATGCACACGCACATACATGCACACACACCACCACCACCAACCAGTGAAATCATTACATACATAATTAGGTTCATCCTGACCTTTCCCCCTTCCTGGTAAGAAAGCAACCAAAATGGCAGAGAATTGGACACTGAAGGGGTACACATCAACTGAGGAATGCTGAACAAGTTATGGTATATGAATGTGACGGAACGCTACTGTGCAGTTAGAAATGATGGAGATGGTTTCAAAGAAACCTGGAAGACTTATATGAACTGAATGATACGGTACCTAGAAAACATTTTATACCATAATAACAAACTCTGGTCAAAACAATGACCAACCATGACTCATGATCAAACAGGCTGCCCACCTTCTAACAGAAGTGACAGACTCATGACTGCAGACTGAGACACAAGGGGTGGGGGGAAGGGAGGAAGGCATGTCACAATGGGCAGTATGGGAATTTGTCTTCCTTGATTATTCGTGTGTATAGTAAGAAGTTCTGTTTTTCTTGCTTTCTCAACTGAGGGCAAGGGCAGAGGACAGGAGGGAGAGAAGGGGAATCTTTGAGAAAATAATATAGTTGGGGCAGCTAGGTGGTGCAGTGGATAGAGCACCGGCCCTGGATTCAGGAGGACTTGAGTTCAAATCTGGCCTCAGACACATAACACTTACTAGCTGTGTGGCCCTGGGCAAGTCACTTAACCCCATTGCCTAGCTTAAAAAAAAAAACCCAGAAAATAATATAGCTTAATTTTTTAAAATCATCATATATGTTGCATGTGCTCAGCATCACCTAATAAGAAGTATACAAGTTCTTAACTATTCATCTTCCAAGCACAATGAGAAGCACTTTCTCATTTTGCTTTGTAAAAATGTGACAAAAAAATTTCATGGCTTTTCTAAGTGAGAAATGCTTGCACACTTGAACAGTACACATTTTAAGGTTGTTCAGATGACATAATGTGATCTGAGCAACGCAATGTTGACCATCAAATTAAGATTTTAGATTGTGGCCTTCAAGATATACATACTTTACTTAGTTAAAAAAAAACTGTTTTAACATGCTTACTCATCCTAAGCCTACTCTAATGGATACTGCCCCTTATCCGTGAGATGGTAATAGCTTACCTTTAATTTAACTGGGGATGGACGATGCCTCTTTTTTACTTCTATCCAAGGCTCCGAGTCCAGATCAGGCAAGCTGGTAGACAACCCTCTAGACATTGTTTGAAGGTTACTTGTTTCAATATTTTTCTTTGGACTCAATGGACTTCCCATTCTTGGAGAACTTGGGGCAGACTCTAAAATTTTAAATTAGTTCTACAGTTAAAACAACTGTTCTTACTTTTTCTATTACACATCTTATATTTTCTTTGAACTTGGGTGTTGAAAATGTTAATCCATTTAAGAATGATGATAAATCAATAAATCTAAAATATTTGAACTACTTGTTTCCTTTTTATAGTTTTTACAACTCGAAGTGTTCTTTAACTGTGAAGTTTTAAGCTTTAAAGAATGAAGCCTTCATTAAACACAGGAAAGATACAGAAAGGACAGTCAAATCCTTGTACAGACCTGTGAATGTGCTTCAATCTTGCTTTGGAAGGACCACCACACATTTCTTATTTAACCTCTCTGACAAGACTGTCAAGAAGTGGGCCACTTATTAAACATCAGGATAGCAGAAAAATGCAGGCACACATGTCCATGAAAAACTGAACTGAAATCTGCAGACTTTCTTAAGAAAGTCTAAGTTAAGAGGGAAGATTAACGTTCCATGGTTATGCTGGCCCATATTCTAATGCAGTTTGTGAAAGGTTTTACCATTATGCAAGATATAAACAATCCTTTTTTGAATATTTCGCTCAGGTATGAAGGCAAACTAAATAACTGAAGTGAACATTTCATGAATACATTACCTACACAATTCAATATTAAAAAGTGCTTAGCACTAAATGTACTGTTTTATTAGCTCTTCAATCATCTCATAGTTTTTATAATTATAACATGTTATCATTTGTGAGGCCTAACAAAATTTCAGCTCATCGAAATCTACACTCATTTTTTTCTCTCTCCCCAGGTAGTTTTTATTTCAAATGATCTTTCCTTTCAAATAGGCATTTTCAAAGGGTAAGGTATCTCTTCTGTAATATGCTTTAGGTTCCTATGCATGTCTATGCAAGCCCTTAGATGCAGGCAATTTCAGTTCTATGATCACACTGGCAAACAAGCGCAAGTCATTAATGATATTTTAGTTCAACACCTTTGCTCCAAATAACCACATTTTCCTGAATAAATATATCACTGAAAATGTTCAAGTATATATACTAGGTTTTGAAGGGAACAGTCACCTATTCTGACTTCATCTGGCTCTTAGTTTAGAAAGGTCAACATTGTTATGCGACACTTTAGGAAATGATTTGGACCTAAGCCCTTGGGGATACTAGGGCTGAAAGGAAAATGGCAGGGGGAGCGGAGAAACTATCACACAGTTTAAAATGAGAAATATGGTTTTATAACAAAACAATCTATAAGCCTTTACACAGACAAAAAATTGCACAAGTCAACGTTAGAAGATAGAATCCTGAGCCATCAAAGACCTAAGAAAATACTAACGCCAGGGATTGCCTTTATAGTCTCTATTCTCTAGCAGGGGAGAAAAGTAATAAAGATAAAAGAACAAAATCATAATGGAAAAACCCTATAGGCAATCAGAAGGCCCAATTCTACTACCAACTAGTTATGAGCAAGTTTCCTAACCTGTTGGCGTCAGTTTCCTCATTTGTAAAACAGGCTACATAGCCTGTCTGCCAGACAGGCTTGCAGTGTCAAACAAATTTATGAAAATGAAACCACTTTTAAAACCACTAATGCAAATCAATGCAGAAGTGTAAAACTGAAGGAGGAAAAAAATAGATTGTGGGGTGTGAGCTATTCCTTAAGTTCTATATGGGATTTTTTGGATCATGCCAAATTCAATGTTTTAGCAAGCAAATATTCTTGGAGATTAAAAAGCATTTCACAAAATACAAACACAAAAGTGCTGAGATATTTTTGGTCTGAAAAAGCAACCAAGAAATGCTTTTGGACAAGACACACTCTGACATGGCAGAAATCTATAAGAGGACTCCTGCAGATTCCTGTATTTTTGAAACTTCAAAGTGCAGGATTCTAATAATACTCTCATCTCAATACAAAGACTGAACAAACTGATGTGTGTCTACTTGCTTAAGATCATGAACTCAAAACTGAGAAACATACTCTTGGGTTAACACTACTGTCAGTACAAACTGGAGCATTTACTACACTCACAGATATCTGTATTTTGAAACCTTTGAAATTCTAAAATTGGGTATAAAGTATTTAAAAGGCATCATCTCCAAAAATGTCTGAAAACATCTCCTTCCCAGGGACTTTTTCCCATGGTCAATCATTAGAAAAATAATTCTCAAAGATTTCTTCCCCCTGAAACTATACATACTATATTTTTAGAAATGTAAATGTTGGAAACTCAACAGATTTTCCCAAACAATTCTAAGTAACCTTCTATACATTGGTATATTTCTTAAACTGAAAACAAAGCTTCCTTTCAAATTAAGGGGAAAAAATTTTAAACCTATAGAGACAGGGGTTTTTTTTTGAAGTAACTATCTTATTACTTTAAAGGTTTAATACTAACTTAGGCAATTCTAATAAAAATTTTGCTAGCAAGTGGAATGACTCTCAATTCTATTCTACCGCAGATTTTTCTGTCCTTCATTCAGTGCATCAAAATAACTGAAATTTCATAAGTGTAGGTGTCCTTCATCCATCAATGCAGATACCAATTACTCCTCTCCATGTTTGGCTGTAAGTTATCAAGAGGTGCCTTGGAAGAGAAAAGAATTCTAACCTGGCAGCTGCTCACCACCTGGTGATGAGACTTACCTCCACTGAAAGCCTTTCCTGCTAGGTAGGTCCTACCAGAACATACTCTCCAGGGAGCGGCATAGTCAGTAAAAACCTAGTTTACTTTCATGCTATGATGAGGCTTCAGAATGTGATTTTAATGGAGATTTTTCCATACTACATCTTTGGTGAAAAGAAAGGGGTATCTAAGGGGCAGCTAGATGGCACAGTGGATAGAGCTCTGGCCTTGGAGTCAGGAGGATCCGAGTTCAAATCCAGCCTCAGACACTTGACATTAACTAGCTGTGTGACCTTGGGCAAGTCACTTAACTCTGACTGCCTCACCAAAAAGCAAGGAAAAAAAATTTTTTAAAAGAGGTATCTATAAGGCAAAATTACTTACCAATAAATTTGGTTCTCCAAAGTACATCATGTCACCTCCCCATTACACCTGCTGACATGACTTTCTTTCTCCATGTTAAGAGAACCACAGCCTTTGGGCTTGAGTAATTTGAATATAATTAAAAACTTAAAGCTTTGACATGGCACCTAACCAAAATATATATGTTTTTAGACATGTCAACAGCTTCACATTGGACATGCAGTCAAAAAGCATGTCAAAAAGGCAAGCTAACTACCAAAAAAAGAAATAAGAATGCTACCAATACAAGAGTCCAAAGGCAAATTCTAGCAAAGCCCTCCATTTCCAAAACATGCAACTTCTTCTGACTAACGGTGCCCCATCACTGCTAACATTACATGACAAATATAAGTCTAAATGGTAGTTCTAGAAGCACTCATAAAGTACATTTTTTCCCCACCTGAGTGAGTGTTGTGTTTTTGAGAAAGAATTCTAACATCTTACCATTCCTCTTCTAATCAAGTTGCTCTTTAAGCTTTCCTGATGCAATAAAGTCCTCTGCTCGTTGCAAAGGTCAATCAACATTAGAGAAGTCAACCTGATTTAAGAAAGATTCTACAAAAAAAGATCAGGGTTTTCCCCGAAGGAAAAAAGAAAAGACTTGTTTCTGCGATGAAGAGAGGAGCAAAAATGTTGAGAAACAAATGTGTCCCCCTCCCTCCCCAAAATTCCTTAGAAAAGGGCAAAGAAGGGCTTGGCTTTACATTCTTTAAGTCTCCACCATATTATCTGATCTAAAAATGGATTACACAGACCACTTTCCCACCCTACTAGGATGTAAAGAGAGTCAGGGATCCAGACTTCCCTTATTAAGGTAAACTTTGACCACCTTAGCACACCAAAGTTAAAGTGACCGAGACATCCTGGGGAGGTCAATCAGGGTATTCCATTCAGAGCCTCCAAACTGGGCAGTAAGTAACTTTACAAAAGATTAAATGAAAATGGAAACAGCTACACAGCATGTATTATTTATCAAGAGCTCAATCCTCAAATTTCAAGGAAACTTAGCAGCTTCGGAAAATTCAGAATTCCATGACTACCCCCCTTCTCTACTTCGGTATTCATTCATTAAGCTAGGACCAAAATTAATTCTGTACTTTAGAAATAACCAGAAAATGGTAAAACTGTGTTGGCACACACTTGGACTGTTTCAGAGGCATTAAGTTAACATGTGCATGTGTCTGAGTGCTAGTTATAAAAACACACACAAAAAATATACAAGGCATTCTGATTTTATTATCTTATTTTTTATTAATAATGCAAAGATGATTAATAGACTAATGGCATCTCCAATCTGGCTGACCTGTTTCCCGTCTGCCCTGCAAATGTATTTTCCATGGCAACATTATTGGACTATTAACTCTGAAATTCCTGTTCTTAGGTCAGGTTAAAACTTTCATCTTGAATCCCACGATGTTTTACATAATAAGGGAGAGTAATCTCTGACATGCACAAACAACATACATTAATCACTTGTCAGGAAGCAGTGTCATTTCCTCCTTCCATTTTTGAAAAATCACCTGGCCATTTTTAACTCCTATAAAATAATGTTACAATGGGTGTTTGCTGGGATCAGAGAGGCACAGAGGTGAAAATCAACAGCTAGGACAATCAAAGATAGATCAGAGAAGTCAAAATAACTCTTGAGACTGCCCAACATCACTGCTGACTTGAAATACCATCAATAATACAATTCATGAGTGGAAAAGGTGCCTTCTTTTTCCTTTTTTTGCATTTTAAGAATTAAATTGTAAGACATTCTTAAATTCTTTAGAGAAGTAACACTCACGAATAGATGCGAGACTCCGTCAGTCTACATTTAATTACATATACAACTTCTGTCAGTAGTGAGCAGCTGATGAAGGGTAGACCAATTATCAAACAGCCTCATAGTTTGGAAAATGCCTTCACATTCAAACCTATTTCTGTAACACTGCTGATGCACACAAGCCTGGCAGCAAAAACACACACACTTGCTAGATTTCCAGAATGACAGCTGTAGACTTTCCCTCATCCTGGAAAGAGGAGCCCATGCAGCCCACTTCCATGTTGATGGGCAGAGTCTCTAAGACAACAGCAGTCCTCTAGTCCACCTTATCATCCCATGGGTAGACTCTCCACTGTAGTGTTGAACCACGCTCCTGCAACAGGAGTCAGAAAGCAGGCTTTCTTGTGCAGCTGAGGACAGTCCCAGTTTCAGATCTGCTGGACCACATAGCTCCAAAAGTGATAAGATTGACTTTTCAATGAGTCACCCATTCCACTGCATATTCCGTTCACATGACATCCAAGTACATCAGAAGATCATCCCACTGACTGAAAAAAGTTCTAGTACACATTTTTCCCAAGGCGGCATGCCTTACGGATGCTCCAGGAAACCATCTAACACAAAGCAGTTTGTGAAGTGGAAGTCACAACCAGTTTTTAATCCACAAAGTGAGAATAACCTTATAGACAGGCCCTAATTCTGCTTTAACCAGAGTGTAGACAAGGTCTGCATCCCTTCAAGTAAAGGTTGAAGCACATTGGCAGGGAAATTAAGGGAAGCTTACATTGTAATAGCTTGTGCTCTACTATACCTGTAACGTGGATAAAAGAATACTTTCCAAGGATAAACACCTGGAATATTCCATTGTTAAATTTACTCGGGGGAAAAAAAGGTGGCATATTGTATCTGAAAATCCTCTAGTTGTTTTCCTTATTCATTTACAAAAATATGATTAAATAATCATCAAAATCAAAAGTAGTTAGGCAGAAACTTGATGCCTACCAAAAGTACGAAAACAATCTAAAAGAATGAGAGGTGAGTGAAGAATAGAGTTTCAACTTTAACTCTCAGATCCCTGCTTTCGGTAGTTTGTAGCTCTCTATGGGAATTACATGAATAAAATTCAGGGCATCGAAAGTCATAGTGTGAACTTTATTCTTTCTATTGAATCCAAAAAAAGAAACTAAAAAAGGGACAGGAAGATTGGGCCACATAGCCTTTCCTACTGCTAAACTGTCTGTTCTGGAAAAAGAAAAGCCGTTACCAGTATGTGAGCCAAAGGCTTTGCCTGGTATGAACTCTGGGCAGTCGATGAGCTGAGAGAAGTCAGTTTGTGGCACATTACGTGGAGGAGGGCCAGGAATTGGCCATTTTTCTGGTTCCACCTTTTTCCTCATCTTCTGGTCCACTATTTCCACTTCTGTACTGTCTTTCAAAGCCTAGATGAAAAATAAATTGTACGTTGTCATTTTAACATCACCAAATTCCTAACAATTGGCCATCTTTACTCCATCACCCATGGTACAATCTCCTACTCTCTGCTTAGGCCTTGAGGCCTTTTGGCTTCACAGGCTTAGCAGAGCCCACGCTCACCTTCGCTCACCTTCAGGAGGTACAGACTTTGAAAACCAGCATTTGCTCCCACACCCCAGGGAAGCATCGGAGCAGCAAGTCTGAGATTTTGACAGGGTCCCAAAAAGTAAAATGTCCCCTACCACATTCTGTCAGGGATTAGTATGGTACTTGCATAGAAGCCCACCCACAATGAGACTCTTCCAAAAATAATTTAGGGAAAGAATTAATAGCCAGCTCAGGTATAAATTGAAAACACCTTTGCCTATTCAGGGCACGTATTTTGCTTACTTCCTTGTTCTTAATAACACTCTAGAGATTGAAGCATTATAACTTTTTTACCAAATGTGTTCAAGAATGTATTTATTGAGAATACCATCTTTTACTGAGGCATACATATTGGGTTACGTGCCCCCTACACTTAAAAAGCTGTATGTGTCTGTTTTTATAATATTTCTTACCTCATACTTGCAGCCAAAGCTAGGTGCAGTCATTCCTACATACCTATCTGGACCTGTCCATCTTTCTATTCAGAATATCCTATTTCTAACCCGCTGTGAGCTTGGATACTAGGTGGCAAAATCTGGTACAAAGTGAAAATCAACTCTGAGGGGGCCCTTGCCCACAGGAGAAATAAATAACCTTTGATGGACAAATTGCCGGCTTCTAAGGGCACAGAAGCCCTTGTAACTCTTCACTTCTCAGCTATAGTTCCATCATGTGAGGATGGAGCTACTGCATAAAATTTTGGCCAACTTTATGTCTTACAAGTAGGATTTAACGTGTTTTTCTCTACTTTACAATTCCCAAATGACTAACTCTGCAAGCCATCGCCCAAATCTGAAAAGACTGTCACCCAAGCCTAGAAGCGATACTGTCATTATCCCTGCCCCTCACAACCCATCTTGACCTTCAAGGCTCAGCTCAGCTCCCTGATCTTGTATGTAACCTTCAATAGCCGTAATAGTGGAAATAAGTATTTTGCTTTGGTACTTCTATCACATGACACAACAACCTGCACATACTAGAATTTAGGAAATGCACTGAATTGAATGAATTACTAAGTGGAATTTTTACAAACTTAATTCTATTTCCTCACTGAAAAAAGGCACCGAAAACTTATCTTTCTTTCTGATTGCCAGTCCGGACATCACCAGACCTGGAAATGAGCCCCCCAAACCCAGTGCTTCAGGTTTTCTAGCCATGCAAAACAGGCCTATGAGCAAAGAACACTGCACAAGGCACTGGACAAAGATGTCAAGATTCACTAAGCTGTGTCCCCTGCCCTCAGTTCACTACAGAATTTCTTGTATAGTCAGTGACCACATGACAAATCACTAACTTATCTTTTGATGAGGCAGGACTTTGAAATACAATAAGTTCTCTTAAATCAGAGTACATTCAGAACCGCCAAGGTTAAGGAAGCTTTTATTATGTCAACATCCCCCATAACAACCTCGAATTCCAAAAGCCAGAGATCCTAACTTATTGAATATGCTTACTTCCTCTGAGGCACATAACTGTCATCATCTATTTCTGTTTTGCAAAAGAAAAATTAAGAGGAACCTAGAAATGAAATGATCATCAATGACCACAGAACAAGTGACTAATAAAGCTGGAATTAGAATTCCAAATCTAATTTTCTTCATCAACCTTCTAGCTCTCATTAGAAGAAAAAGATGCAAAGGAAAAACAATCTTCCAGTAACCCAAATACCACACACCACATATCCCTCTCTGAATTTGCCCCTATCATACTGGGCACCCAGAATACGCCCTGCTCTCTCCTTCCCCAATCTATATACCTCTTCTCCAAAACTTAATGGCTCTGTGAGTCCATAACTAATGCTGCTGATGGCAACCTATCTGTGCCCTCCTGTCTTGGGGGACAGCACCCAGTGTGACCCATGACCTTCCCATTGGCTGTACCTCATTCTCATTCCATGACTAGCTCACCTCCTTTCCCTGAGCACTTCTGCACAGTTCTAAGTTGGTAACGTGCTCCAGTCTAGTACTCTGCATCTACCCATCCTACCTTGGGTGACCAACGACAAAAAGAGAGGGCGAAGCTACACGTCATCACACCACTGACCAGCTGCCAAATGGAGATACCACACCTCACAAAGGCTGTTGGTAAGGCGCTAATCAGACAAAGAGTTTAAGGGGTCTGCAAGCTAATTCTCTACACAGACATAAGCTATTTGTTATGAACCTGCACAGTTCTTAAATGTCATCCAAGACAATCCCTGCTCCCCTCCTGGACACCTGCCTTTTTAATTCAAGGTCCAGACTGTTGTCCATCTGCACAGTCTATCTAAGAGCTCTGCCCTGATGTGCCAGCTCTATGACTTGTCCATCCAAAATAATTACCACTCTAGAATTCTTCATTCACTTAAGCTTTTCATCTGTACACTTAAGTTTTAAAATACCTGGGTCTTGATACAATCAGTATGTCATCTGCAAAAAGGAGACTCTGAAGGTCGTTGTGCATCTATACAGAATCTCTCTTCTACCTGCATTTCATGCTGCATATCTAGTTTTTGTGCTTACCGTAAGAGCTCTTCAGTTCTTTCACAGATGTATTCTACAATAGCTAACATTATATAGCAGAGTGCTTTACGTTTGATCAACAACCCTGGGAAGTAGGTTCTGTCATTATCATCATTTTACAGTTGGGAAAACTGATTCAGGCAGGTCAACTGACCTGCACAGGTCACACAGCTCCTAAGTGTCTGAGGCCAGATCTGATCTCAGGAAGACGAATCTCCCTGACAACAGGCCCAGCACTCTCCACTGCTGCCAAGTCATTTTCAGTTGTGTCTGATTCTTTGTGACTCTATTTGAGGATTTCTTGGCAGAGACACTGGAGTGGTTTGCCATTTCCTTCTCCAGCTCATTTTACAGATGAGGAACTGAGGCAAACAGGGTGAAGTGACTTGCCCAGGGTCCCACAGTTAGTTTTCCCGACTCCAGGCTCAGCTCTCTTATCCACTGTGCTACCTAGCTGTCCCCTAGTACTCCATGCACTGCAGCCTAACTGCTTCTGCATTGCCCAACAAACTATAAGATGAAGGAACAGCTGAGTAACGCAGTGGATAGAGCTCCAGCCTTGGAGTCAGGAGGACCTGAATTCAAATCTGGCCTCAGACACTTGACACTTACTAGCTGTGTGACCCTGGGCAAGTCACTTAACCCTGACTGCCTCACCAAAACAAAAGAACAAAAAAACAACAAAAAACAGATGAGAACAAGAAGTAATTAGTATTTCGTCTTCCCCTACAGAGAACCTAGTATAGGCCCTGCACACAATAAATGCTCAACAGTCAAAGCTTTGTTGCTTACTAAATAAAAATACTCTTGGAACAAAATACTTTAATATTAAGTGATGAAACATGACCACTACCTCAATAAGGAAAAAAAATTAAAATTTGAATCAATTCAGGAGGGGGAGGGCAGAGAAGGGGAGCAAAGGGTTGATGAAGTGTTCACAGGTAAACATATTCCATTTTTGGTTCTATGTATCTGAAGACTAAACCCTAACAGTAATAAGATAATCCCTGGAATTCTTGCTACAAACTGAACTAGAGCTAAAGAGCACAATGATAATAAGGAGGTCTCAGAATGTCCTCTCCATCAATGAAGAATTTTTTTAAAATGTACAAAAACAGAACATAAGTTCACAAGGGGACATAATTTTATTTTTTCCAACTATTATGTTAAATTTACACTTTAAAAGCAAAATATAGATGACACATGTTCACTTTTTCATATGCAACCCCCATTTTTTGTCCATTAAAATGTTTGAGTTTATTAATGTTTGAGTTTATAATAAAAACAGAAATTATTTTTTTTAAATAAGGAGTTCCAGAATCTTGATGCTCACTTAACAGCCACCAAAGATTATTCAAAAGGAGACAGGAGAATAGGCAGAGTGAAGGCAGTGAGCCTAACATATAACCTCATTATACAAAGTTCAACGTTACTTTAAGGCATATTTCTCTTCCTCAAAAATACATTTTAAATTTATAGGAAAAGTGCACATTAAATTCTTCACTTACAATTTAATGTTTATTCCATCACTGTACTCCAAGGTTACATCTAAATGTAATTCTATTTTTAAAACAGAACTTATGATTTTTTAATTTCCAAAATATATAAAAATAGACCAACTTGGTAAGAATTAAAATGATGCTCTCTTCTGACTGAGCACCCACTATCTTTCTCAAGCGTAGTTCCTACATTCCGATTCTCTACCTGCCCTCCCATTCACTTAAATCTGTGACCTGTCCACCTATATTTCTTGCCACATATATTTCCTCTTCAATACTAATTTACTGTGTTCTTCCCTTCTTGTTCTTATTATAAGTAGATGTACCCAAGGATCGATGTTACATGCTATATTATATTACATAGGTTACCATCATAAGTGCCTATGAGGGAGAGATCTTCGGCTTGCCAGCCTCTGAGAGCTATCAGAAACCTTGCTGTAGCTACCAAAGGCAAGCCGCTCAGCGAATGAAACCAAGAACCCAAGGGGCCTGTATTTCAAACGATTGTAAATCTTTTGAGGTTTCACCTGCAGCAGAGGAGTAACCTAAAAAGAATTCAAGTCCTAGAAGCATGAGAGAGCTCAGAAATTCCAGTTTAGGGGCAGCTGGGTGGTGCAGTGGACAGAGCACCGGCCCTGGAGTCAAGAGGACCTGAGTTCAGAGCTAGGTTCCGACACATAACACTTACTAGCTGTGTGACCCTGGGTAAGTCACTTAACCCCACTGCCTAGCCACAAAAAAAAAAATTCCAATTTCAATATGAAGCTGAACACCAGGAGAGCCTATACTGGTGGCAGTCTTTCAAAGATTTCAAAGTACTGATCATTTGAACATGTAAAAAGGACACAAGCTTCTCCCATAAAAACAGAAATGAGATAAAAGATGAAAACACACAGTCCAGGAAAAGATTTTTAAACATAGTCTGATTACCTCTAAAATGAGATTAACATTTGTAGTCAGGGCCTGAACACGGTGGAAACTGGCAATCAGAGAAATAGGCAAGAAACCTTGTTCATCCATCTTCCTTCTAAGAAAGAAGTCCCGTTCCAAATTTTCTATACTGAAGTAATATTCACTGAAGAGAGAAATAAAGAGGTCAACATAAGCTTAATTCTTTTATGTGAAAAGCAATCAGTGTTTGTTTTTACCACGTCTCATCTGCCACAAAACAAGTTTTAGCTATGGTTAGTGATAAAAATCACATGTTAATAGTTATAAGCTAAATAAACAACATTAGGAGAAAATGGCTAGCATAAAAGTCATAAAGTCTGGCTATGAAATTTAAGGAAAATGGGAACATAATATTTTGCTCTCCTTTTCCTTTGTTGTTGTTGTTTTACTGCTTCATTCTTGTGGTTCCTCTCATTAGTTCTAACTGTTCTTGGAAAAACACTGTTTTCTAATTGTCCTTGGGAAAATACGCTTAACATGAATGTGTAAGTAACAGCCTATATCAGATTGCACCTTCTTGGGGCAGGGAGGAGTGGGAGGAGAAGAAAATTGGAAACTCAAAATCTTATGGAAGTGAATGCTGAAAAGTAAAAAATAAAATTAATTATAAGAAAAAAAATCCAAGAAAGAAATCTCACAAAAATTCCCATGACTCCCTTAAATTTCACAAAAACATTCCAATAGGAAACTATAACAGTAATCTCTTAAAGTGAATTTAATTGCTCTTTCATTTTGTCTATTATTCAGGTGGGAAGAAATGGGTGAATCTGCATTTTCCCCAAAGCTGAGACTGATCTAACACACTAATTTCAGTCATGCATATAAAAGTACCAAGAATTCACCAGTCTCAGGGCAGCTAGGGTGGCACCGTGGATAGAGCTTCTAGAGTCAGGAGGACTTGAGTTCAAATCCAGCCTCAGACACTTGACACTTACTAGCTGTGTGACCCTGGGCAAGTCACTTAACCCCGACTGCCCCAACCCCCAAAAAATAAATAAATGAATGAATGACTAACCAGTCTCTAGTTGTTCTGAACCATTTCTAAGGAAGTATTCAAGTTAAATTAAATTGGTATTTAATTAAACATTACTTATCACTACTAAAGTTAAATTTGCAAGGTTGACTCAGGCACTAAGAGTAGCTGCAAAAAGAATTCCTCCTTTCTAGGCAGTACCCAAGTGAACTCTCTAGAGAACAAGGAGCTTCTCCAAGTTATTTCAAAATAAAAGTTGGAAGCATCCTCCTTGGCTAACCAAAGCGCAGATTAAGCTTTATTGTTCCACCCCTAAGAGCAAGGTCCATAACTTACTCTGCCTTTTTATCTAAATAGCAATAGGCAAAACCACTCCACAGGTCTGAGCCAGTAAAAATCATCTGCTGACCAGCGCCCTCTCTCCTCCAAACAAAAGAATGGCAGCAGCCTGAAGGACAAGACTGAGGGGAACAGCAACGCTGCTCAAGAGCAAAGCTCTTCAAGGACACCATTCCCAGCGGAAAGGAACCAGACTGGCGTCAAGGCTCTACGGGTCTTCTGGAAACATCCCTGAACTGTGAGGACTTACACAAGACAATAAATGCTTGATAAAGACTCAGTCACACCCGGGAGAATGAATAGAAAAAAACACCAAGATTAAGAAAGACAAATCTGCCATAGCCTTTGAGAATGAAATCTTTCAGACAGCAAGCCTCATATGAAAGTAAATTCCTAAGAAGAAGATTAAAATTTCTGAAAGAGATGTATTATTATTAAGGAAGCACCCAAGAGAGAAAACAAAAAGCCAAGAACAAATTTAAGAACACCAAGAAAGCAAGTACTACCCTTCACTGATAGAGACTCAGAATTAACAATCAGCTTCTATAGCATGTTTCCCTAATGGGAGAAACAATTAGTGAGGTAAAATTCCAGAAATTAGATTTTCCAAAACTGGTATGCTACGGGCAAAGCTCACAGCCTGAAGTTTTCACATATATGCTTGTGTGTATATTATATAGATATATAAATAAAATATACACTTTGAGTTTCAAAAGGTATTTCTTGAAAAAAGTCATTCTAAATACATAGTAAAAAAATATCAATGATTACTGTTCCTGACAATGGTGGTTTAGGAGTCACAGTAAATTTTTAGTGAAAAGCAGTTATTTTACAAGTGTTAACCATTAAAACAACTTGGTGGTGAAGTTTATATTCTGAAATCTTCCAATTCACCTACCAAAACGAAAGTAAAAGCACTATAATATGTAATCTGAAAGTTAAAATTCAGTAAGACATCATTAACATCACAAAAACGTTTTAACAGAATTCCAAAAGTTAAAAAATTCACTTAATTTCTATTCTCAAGACTTAGCGAACTAAAGGAAAAAGAATATTTTGAATTTTTAACAAAGAAACCAAATGATCATGATCTTTAGGATTTCTAATCTACTTAAAGTCTTTTCAGAAATCTAAAAGAACTCAATTCATGCTTCAGGTGCCTACAATGAAAATTTCCGTCCTCACTTAAAAATGGCTGGCGTACGAAAATGATGCCAAACGCCTAGTAACCATAGTTCTCAGATGATGCCAGTAAAGCCACCGGCACTGCTATGAAGCTCTGAACCATGGCGTGATCACATTCTTTCCTACATCTGAAATGACTACAGGAATAGTGTGAAGGCACTGGTCATGCCTAGAAATGATCAAGAATACAAGACAAGTTCATTTTAAAGGTATTTTTTTTCCTCCTTTGCTACTCTGCACTATTTCTGGATTTTTTCCTGACTCGGTTTTATAAGCACAAAATTTTTAAGGTCCATTGAATTGTATTTTCCTCCTTCAAATGCAATGGGAAATTAAGAATTACATCTCTGGTGGTTTCTGGGGGGAAAAAATCTAAACACTTAGCAGAAATTTCCAAGAGACAAAGGCTTTAAGTAAGACTCCACCAAACTAAGTTTCTATGTTCTCCAACAACCAATGATCAATAAAACCAGGTTAACAAGCTATATTAAGCCTTGTACTCAAACTCGCCAAAAATCTGATGCTAAAACACAAGATATAAGTGAAAACAAGTTCAAGAGATCCTGAGCAACACTGTGTCTGACACAGCTGTTGTTGGTCTGAGTGTTAGAGGAGACGTCCTCATGTCCTGCCTTAGAAGCCCTGGATTCTACACTGCGTGACCAGAAATTCTGCCAACCCTGGAGTAGCTCTGCTCCTCCCTCACTTGTCTGAGGACAGTGAAGGCCGATTATCCTGGCATGGAGCTTCATGGCCACTGTCAGGTCTCAGAAAGAGGCCTGGCAGCAAAAGCTACAAAAAACAAAATGGAATAAGTGCTTGGAGGTTGACAGCCATATGCCTGACACTTTCTGCTCATAAAAAGGCCTTTTTCTTCCATTTCTTTTTGGGGGATCACTGTAACAAAAGAAGCAAGAACACAATGAACAAGCTGCTTCATGTATTATCAGGAAAATTAAATCTACCGTGACGGCATGCCAGGAGAGTGTCCGGCTGGTGCTGATAAAGAAATATTTGCCAATAAGAAGCAGAGTCCATTTTCTTTTTAAGTAGTAAGTTGAGTATTCAAGAATTTTCTTTTTACTAACCCCTTGAGAAACAGCATTCCTAACTGCTTTTTACAAAAAAACAAGTATTTCACATTTCTATAAATCAAACACACACACACACATCTTCTGGGAATGTCCAATCTCTCCCTTCACTAAACAAAACACTGCACAATAACTAATGTGTAGAAGGACTTTTTTTTCCAAGAGACAAAAGAACAAACTAGAAAGCTATGTTAAAACGTAACAGGGAAAGAAGCTTCTAGTGACATCTCAAACAGTGCTCACAACACAAGCCCGACAGCTATCCTCCAGAGGCCAAAATAAAGGAGAAAACAAAACAAGTAAACAAGGCCAAAGAGATTTAGACTTCATACTCAACAGACAAATGCACAAGATCATCACAACCATTTCCTTTCATTTTTCATTCAATTTATGAAATTAAGCACCCATCTAAAAGCATGGGCTAACACTACTTTGGCAAACACAATTTGCATTCTTAATTTAATCACTTATGAGAAATTAGGCTGTAATTTTAAAAGTAGGTTCCTTTCACATTTCCATCAACTCTTCTTAGAGGTCTAAATAGGACATCCTTCCCTGGCGTGTCAACTTGGATACATCTATCTAACTGAACAGAGAAATATTCAAATATTACTTTTTTTATTATTATTATTATTATTTTGGCTTGGCTAGGCAATGGGGTTAAGTGACTTGCCCAGGGTCACATGGCTAGTAAGTGTTACGTGTCTGAGGCTGGATCTGAACTCAGGTCCTCCTGAATCCAGGGCCGGTGCTCTATCCACTGCGCCACCTAGCTGACCCGAAATATTCAAATATTAGGAGAAAAAAAAAAAGGCCATCTGTTTTACAAAGTTTGAGTCAACTACAATCTATTTTATTAGAAGGAAAATCCTTTCATCAACAAATAAAATATGAATGGAAATTTCCCAACTTTACCACTCTATTTTTTGAAAAACAGAAAACATGCTAATATTGAAGTCACAGATGTCCAAGTCTACTTACTTACATGCGAAATCTACTTACATTTGCCGCTTAATGTATTCTTTGAGCAATGTTTCGTCCACAGAATACATCTGAACTCCTGTACCATCATCATAGTAATACATCATGCTAGTGTTAAGTTCTGGTTGAAATGGCTGATCAGTTCTTTCACCATGTTGTTCTCGATAACCATATGAATATTCAAAGTTCACTTCAAAAAACACGGAGGAAAAAGGTTACTCAAAAGTCCAAGGCTAAATATTCATAAAGTGACACAAAAATGCCTAATTTTACACTATCGTGACACTCCAATAGCCAGTAAAACACACCAATATTCAAATATTTTGGACAAAGAGGAGGCAAACAAACAGCACAATGAAGATCAAAAATAATTTTCATCTACTTTAAAGAAAACAAAAAACACTTCCGTCATACTTCGAGGGTTTCCTCTGCCTCGTCCTCTTCCTCGGCCACGTCCTCTTCCTCGACCTCTAAAGCAACCTCGAATATTACCCCCTTCACTTCGCACACTGGAAACTTCATCCTGATCATCTCGCTTTTCTCTATCACGTCTCCAACCTTTTCAAAAGAAAATAAATCAGATATATTAGCTGCTTGGGTTTTTTTTTTGTTACAAAGGAGAATCTATGAAGGTCTATGAGTGGAAATACAACCAAAAACGACTTTTAAAAAAAAAACAAACTTATTTTTAAAATAAAATGCAGGGGCAGCTAGTTGGCGCAGTGGATACAGTGATGGTTCTGGAGTCAGGAGAACCTGAGTTCAAATCCAGCCTCAGACACATAACACTCACCAGCTGCGTGAATCTGGGCAAGTCACTTAACCCCAAATGCCTCACCAAAAAAAATAAAATAAAATGCAAAGTAAGAATGATATACAGTGGTCATATGACTATCACCATTAAATGCTTCATAGATTTGAAGAGAACTAAACATAATCCAAAGGGATTAAAATCTAGATAACCTCTAAATTGGTATTTTTTTCCCTTTGGTTCTGATTCTTTTTTCACAACATGACTAATGTGGAAATATGTTTAATATGATTGTATAAATATAGCCTGTATCAGATTGCATGCCATCTTGGGCAGGGGGGAAAATCAGCAACTCAAAATCCTATAAAAGTGAATGCTGAAAACTAAAAATAAATTTTTAAAAATTTTTTTAATTTAAAAGTTTAAAAAAAAATACAAATGCTAAGATCACTAAAGCGAAGCTGAACTCTGAGTAAATGAAAAATCCAAAGAATAGATAAAGCACACCTCCTGCTCCTTTTAGCCCACCACCTAGTGCTGTCTCCTAGAACGGCTGTTGGAGCTCAACTGTTTCTCTTTGTTACAGGGTGTTTCCAGAAATAATCATAATGTAAAGACAAAAAGTACGAAAAAAAAATTTAAGATTTCCATCACTTATATTTGTGAACCCTAACCTACAAATTTTTGCATAATGTTTTCTCAAGCTTTTTTCTCCCTTCCACCTGCCTCCATCCCAAAGCCCCCTACACCTTGCCTCATCTCAGATCTAATGGAGGCTGCTTTGCAATAGAAAACACACTAGAGACACCTTCTACCAAATCTCACATTTCTGGATTACCAAGAGACGTCTAAAATCCCCAAGCTGAGGTGAGAGCCACTTTAGGGCTGCCTAAGTTAAAGGCTGCCAGCCAGCCTTCACCAAATGGGGTCTCCTGAAGGTTATCTGATATATCTGCTGTTCAAGAGGCAGCAAGAAAAACGGATCAAGATCAGCTCTCCTGATTTTCCAACATAGTGGACTAAGACTTTCCTCCTCTAATCTTCTCCTCACCTTTCATTTCCAGGGCTCTTCTGCGCTTTGGTCTACTTATTCTTTCTCTTCATTGTGAGCTAGTACATTCTCTTAAACGTTTGACAAAAAAACTACTAGGAATGTGTCTCATTTGATTCTGTGTTCATGTTATGCTAGACGTGCCTGAATTGTGCGGCAGGTGATAAAAGATGAGTTCACTGAAGGAGAGGATTCGCAACTCTAATTCTTTTTTAAAAATGTATGCCTTTTTCTTCATTCAACTAAAGGAAGCAATTTGGTGTAACAGAAGGACTCAAGCCCTCTCCAAGTCCCCGTTCTGTCACTTAACTTACTCCTTTTATAAATTTGGGAAAGTGACTTCAACCTTAGTGGCACTCAGTTCTCCATCTATAAAATAAGGGGGTTGCACTAAAGGCCTTCTAAATCTAAGAACCAATGAACTTCTCTATCTAAATCCTATTTCTAGATGAGGATAATGACAATATCAAAAACAGGCTGTTCAGGGACGAGATTAGAAAGAGAATATAGTATCAGGAAAGACAATTGTGTTGGCAGCTGTTGCCTCACCACCAAACTATTGTCACCCAATCAGATGTGACAGAAGTTATTCCTGTGTAATAGAAAAATTCATCTCATGTAGTCAGCCAGTCATTCCTATGACCCCAGCTGATTAAAATTAGTTTGCACAAACCCCAAGGTCATCTACTCTGTCAGCAGCGGCCAGGCAGCCTTGCGGGGATGCAGGCTCTTCTCCCATGACCACTCTGCACATCTTGCCACGGCCTGCCTTCAGGGAGTCTACTCACCATGCCAAGGGCTTTCCTCAGATCAACACAAGACATGTGCTGTCCCATCTGTTGGGCCTTGCGCTTACTATGTATCAGGCACACCTTCTTTTCTGTCTCTAGAACACCTTCTATGCCACTTCATACATAGAATTTGATGCAGGTAATGTATTTCAGTCACTTAACTCCTTTTATTTGTTATTTTATTCTTCAGAGTCTATGGTACTCTCTAATGTAAAGTCACATAGTACAAATATTAGAATACTCATGTTGAAAAGGACAGAGTGTTTCAAGAAGGCTGGAATCACTGAAAGTACCATACAATTTCCCAAATGCAATCCAGTCCACTTTGTTCCTAATTCAATTTTGGATCCAGCTCTTATACACTCTATTCGAGACTAAGTACTGATGGATACTCAACACATGCCTAGATCACTCACAAAGATTTTATAGAAATGATAAAACAGGCACATAAATGCATCAGGAGATATGAATTTTCTTTCCCAAAACTACCTTCAAGAGTCAAGTACGGCCTCTGATAAACTACAGTACTGACACATCAAACTCCACAGGGATATCTATGCCAATCTTCTTGTCTTCCAGATTTAAAAATTAAGGCCAAGAAGTGAGGCAGCTGGGTGGTGCAGTAATTAAGACTGTTGGACTTGAAGTCAGGAAGACCTGGGTCCAAATCGTACCTCAGATACGCTTTTTAGCTTTGTGGGGGCAAATAACTTAACTAGTTTAGACTAGTTATCCCTAGTCTAAAATGGGTATAACAACAGCCACCTACTTCCCAGGGTGGTTATAAGGATTAATGAGGTAACATACAGAAAGCCTTTGGCAAACTTTAAAGTACTATTTAAATGCTAGTTTTTGCCATTACAATTATGCGACTTGCCCAAAGCCACACATTCAGCTAGTGGTGAAGCTGGAACTAAAGGCAGGGCTTGACACCCAAATAAATGTTTTATTATACCTACCAGCTTTTTATTTAGACTATAGCTAAGGTAATGGAACCTAGCTGGGGCAAGGGGAACACCCTCTGTTCCTTAAGCCTTGTGCTATTGCTGCAACCAGGAAGAATTCCACATTTGGAATCGAGTAAGTTTATTCCAGTGGTACTTTAAACATATATTAGAACATAAATATGAAATATTTTCATTCTATTAGTACCAATATTTCAACTGACTTAATAAAATATACAACTATGTTAGTTACCAGAAACATCTAGCCAGATCACTTTATTTAACACCATGCTAGACACAAGATATTTTCTCTGTGTGTGTGTGTGTGTGTGTGTGTGTGTGTGTGTGTGTGTGTGTGTGTGACTAGGGGGGTGGAGGGGAGACACAGGGAACTTCATATAGTCATCATATAATGTACTGATCATTACATTCAACAAAGGTTCTACGCTAAAATTTGAAAAAAAATCCAGGCTATAAAAACATTCTTGACATGCAATCCCTTAGTCATGCTTGGCACACAATAAGCATATGATACATGCTTTTTCATTCCTTCCTTCCATTCTGTCTAGGATGCATTCACTTCCTTTATTTACAAGTAAAATTTAAACATCTGACATTATGCCACACAGTTCATCAGATTTCCTAAAAGATGGTTAATACTGTCATCTTTGACTGCTGAGAATTCTTGAAATCATCCTTTCATTGCTAACACTTACTGAACACTACTTAATAATGGCTAGAAAGCTGGACTTTAAGAGAGTCTGACAAGGGTCCCAATCCTGCCTCTGACATTAACTCACTGTGAGACTTCTTTCCTCATCGATAAGAGGGACTTACCCTAACCATAACACCACAGACTCACTGTGAGGCTATCATCTATGTAAAAAGCATTTTGCAAACTTTAAAGTTTATACACCAAAGGATCAGCTACTCTTAGGAATGGGGACTACACCCACGATTTCTCTGGCACAAGCAACTCCTAAGTGAAGAAACCTCCTCTCCCATGGCCAGGCAGCACCTTAGAGTAAGTTGTCTAGAACATGGAAAGGCCAGTAAATGCCTTGCCCAGAACCTTGAGAGTCTCCCTTCCTCAGCTAGTCCACAGTCAATGTCAGAGGAAAGACTCCAACCCAGATCTTCTTTCCTCTTCATCCACCGAGGGAAACTGCCTCTCCAGCTATTATGTTATTTTATTTAAAACACAACATTAACAGAAACCTTACCTATGCCAAATGAGTCTGGCATTCAGAATGTATATTTAGTCCTTTTTACCACGAGAAAGTTACTTACTTCGTGAGTCATTTCGTCGGTTGTTATGCGCTGACTTATTTGCTTCTGGTTGAGATCTTGAGCTGTTCCGTGATCCTGGTCTTTCTTGGCTATCAGGTCTTACATCATCTAAATGAAGTGGTACCCACTTGTGCTTATTAGCTTAAAGAATACAAAACAGAATCTTTTTGAATAAAAATTACTATGGTTTTTCTAATATTTAAAAAGAAAATTTGAAAAATCATATGGCTAGTATTCTAGAAATTTTAAAAAGCAAATATCTCCTTTTAGAAATTGGAGTCAAGTATCACCTAAAATCAATATTATTGAATTTGAACTTTAAAAAACAAGACAAGTAAAAAGTGAACAATTTTCAAAAAATCTATTTACAAATGAAATTAAATATGACAAAGAATAAAGGCAAAAGAAGGTAACTATGTTTATTTATTCTTAAGGGGATAATTGTGGGACATCGATTTATATTCTCCTCTGCATTTATGAAGTTCCTGACTAAGTTGCCTCTTTTAATGATACCAATAAACATTTTGCATCTTCACAACAAAGACAAGTGATTTTGGAAAGGAGGATGGAAATCAGTGTCAGAATACACAGGACATTTTTCTTTTGCACTGAGTTGACCTGAGAAAAATATCGTCCAAAGATAGAAACCATTATGAGAGATTAGAAACACTGATTCCCCCCAAGGTACTGAAGAGGCCTGCCATCTTCAGTGTTACCTTACTTGATAACCCTAAATGCAGTAAAGAAACATCCTTAGAAATCCAAAATGCTTTGTCTGGTTTTAAACCACCCCACTATAACGTAACACAAATACTTCATATTTGCCTGGGAATTATTGGAAAATGAGGTATCTCATATAAATGAATTAGAAGATTATCATCTTAATTTGGTCATTCAACAATTTTTACAGGAGTATTTCTAAAATTGTATTATACAAATACCAAAAAACTGTTAATGCCGCATGTTTGGGAAATGGCAGAATTGTGGCATAGACATGAAATGGGGCATATTGTCATTATGAATAATACTAAGAAATGTATGATATCAGAAAGACCAGTATGACATAATTCAAAGGATGAAGAAAGCAATCAGATAAGTAGGCATGGTGACTAAAACTGGATATACTTTGTGTATAAAAAGTATATTCATACATGTGAATGCACAATTAGATCAGGCAGATCTTTCTTTTCTCATTCTTACTGACTGCCTACATTACATATATGCACATGTATTTGTGTATATAAACTGGAGATCATCTATAGATATATCTTCATCTTATTTGTACATAGTAGTTTCCATGTTGTCCCAGCCCCTACTAGACTGGGAGCTCTTGGAGAGCAGGCCTGTCTTTTGTCATTGTATTCTCAGTGCTTCGCACAGTGCATGGCACAAAGCAGGCATTTAACAAGTGTGCACTGGCTGACTGAATCGACATGCATATAAACCATTCTCTACTTTCTTGAAAGGAAGCTGAGCATCATTTCACTTCTGCTGGATGACTCGGGGTCATTATAACCAACAACGATCTCGTGGTACATGATTAGAGGCCCTCTGAACTGAGACAAGGGTTCAAAATCGGTGTCTTTCTGTGCCATCCCGTGCTCCCACCACAAGTAATAGGTGAAGAGGGTGCGAAAAGTTTAAAAAATGTGAGACGACACCACTGTGTCGCTACCTTCTACTCCTTGACAAACCAGGTGTGGAGCAGAAGTAAAGGAGTAAAGAAGTAAAGAAGTAAAGAATACCTAAGGAACCTGGCAGATTTTACAAGCTCTTTCTAAAAACAATGCAAATGCCTTCTTTCTAGAGGGCTACTATATTAGACACCTCCGTGCTAATCAGTTTAATCAAATCAAACCTATCAGAGTCCAGATGAATTTCAAATGGTATATTCTGGATGGGAAGAGGCATCTTAGATCAGCATTTAACCTATGCTAAGGAATCTGAAACGGCCCCAAGCAGATACTGAGCAGTATCTGAATGGTGAAGAAAAAGAAGGCAGAAGGTAGGAAAAGGGTCCAGGAAGGGATATGCAATCAGAAACCACAACAAAATATGCCTTCTTTTCAATTCTACCAAAAACTCTAGGGCTGACCTAGTATTATTGGAGGTTACCAATGCAGACAGGAAAAGGATGACCTATTTGGAACCAGACTAGAAACACAACTTACTCCATTCCCATCCAGTCCCCTCAGTATGAGCAAGTCCCTCTCAGTCCGATGATGTCTCATTTAATCTCCACCCTTTACCCACTTGAAGACAAGGATGGAAAAAGGAGGCGGCGGCATGGGCCCTTGCCCACCTGCCCCTCTTCTCTGTGTGTTAGTCATTATTGTCCAGGACCCTTTAAAACACATCCCAGAGGAATCCTGAAGCCTTCAGTCATTTTCCTTTCTTGCCACCCCGGATGTCAACTGTCATTTCTCCTTTTTAATAGTCCTGCCTCCTGAAGGGTCTCATTGCTTCTATCCTATTCTGGTCTAAGAAATCAGGGGAAGTTCTGATGAGGACCCTTTGAGACTTCCCTTACAGAGGAAAGGGCAGAGCTCTGAAATGAGAAGCTTAGAGGTTTTTCAATCCCGTCCTACATCAGGGTGGTTGCCGCAGAATATGTAGAGCCTTTTTATACTTTTATAATTAGAAATAACAAAACCATAATGGATTTACCTGAAATTGACAAAGAAGTCCTCACACAGGATACAGAATATGGCAGGTTTCCTGTAGGGTGGGGCAAGCCACCAAGAACACATCAGCTCCATCCTTTACCTTCTAGACTGGCTGGTGATACTAAGTGAACTGAAGCTCATAACTTAGTCCTATCCTCCAAGTTCCTGACTTACAACCCAAATTCAGGGAGTCCCATTTTTCACAGGGCATTAATCATTACTCATTCAGTGACAACTATAAATTTATTTTCCAAAGTCTTCACTCACTCATTTATCTATTTCTATAGCAGGCCCAAATAGACAGTGGCTCCTAAAGGAAATCTAAGATGGAATTGATTTCTGCCACTCACTCAGCATTTAAAAAAAAAAACCCTCAGGCTGATTAGATAAATTTCTAAACAAACACCCATCAGTAGTAAAGGTATGTGGCTGCCCTTCCTTTCCACAATTTGCATGCATGTATGCATGCACACACATATGCATGAGTATATATGTATCTTCCATCAGTTTTTCCCCTCTAAGATTGGGGGGCGGGGGGACACAGAACAAAGTAAACAATAGTAGTCAGAAGGCCCAGCCAGATTCAAAAGCTTTCGTTCTGCACATTCTCAGAACTCAAGTCCTTGGGGATACCATCAAGTAGAACTAGGTGCTACAATGTTCTTTACTTTTAAACAACTGCTTTTCACGGCAGGGATCTTATAAAAAATAACATAAGCCCCACATCATCTCCAAAAAACCCTTCAAAAACACTGATTAATTGTTCAATAACCACCTTGTGGCTGTGTTTGTTTTAGAGATAAATTTTACATTTCAGTAGCACTATAGCTTCTAAGTACTAGAGAGGAATATTTTACAATAAAGTGAGACCTTGTAAATCATCACATTGAGTAGTGCCTGTGTGCCCACTTTATAGGATATTTATCAAGGCTAAAGAGTGCTTTAACAGCATTAGACAGGGATTCCCGTCAGAGACTATGTTTCTAGTTTCAGCACTACCATTAACATGTCTATTAACTAATACAGTCACTGTGAAAATTTCTCAGTTTCCTAATGATAGTGTTTTTTTTAAAAAGGAGGTTAGACTAAATATTTTCCAAGGTCTTTTCCAGTCCTACAATGGAATGATTCTAATACATGAAACGCAATTGTAGTATTTTAAATGATAGGGAGGTTCTTAGAGTTGCTGTCTGTTATTTGATGTGGGCCAAAACTGAAGATTGACCAAACACCGGTAAATTTCAGACTAGCAGATACCTAATACTAATTCAGAATTCTAAATGGGAGGAAAAAAATTGGAAGACATATTGCAATATGATAATTATTCAGTGTCCTTTATAGGACTAACATATTACTCACAACTTGGTTTCCTCATAAAACCACATTTAGATTTCTTACAGAAGGAAAAGGCTGAACAGGACTTACCCAACCCCAACCCCCTACCCATACAATTTGGGGAAGATACATTTAAAAGCCAAATCAGTAAAAAGCCCATTAAGGTCCCCAAGAACAGAATCTCCTTTCTCCATGGAGAACAGATTGGGGGTTGGAAGGGGGAGAGAAGATACACAGGACTCTAAATGAGGCACAATATTTGTACAACATTGCTACAACGTTGGCTGTTTTCGTGGGCTTCAGATTTTTGTTTTGTCCCAAGGAAGGGTTCAATCTAGGGGAAGGAGAGGTTGCATTCTTCCTAGAAATAACTGTTAGATAAAAGCATTATCCATGCTTTTTTTTTTAAAGGAGGAAGAATGTGAAGAAGCAGTTGAAAAGGGAGAGACTCTCTTCCTATAATTATACTTCTGCATCTTTCTAGAATACACTAAATTTTTATTCTTCCAAGGAAGTTTTCAATAATTTTTAAAAGTCCATACAAATTTTTACGTAACTTTCTTCAACTAAAAAGAGTCTATAATATTGAATCAATGACAATCCTCAATGTGTCTGGGTTTGGGTTTTTTTTGGTTTGGGGGGGGGTTTTGGGTAAAACTGTATCCCAGTTTTTACAACTGAGATAGAAAGAGTTCCAAGAAAAGAAGAAAATGTTCCTGAGATTTCTTTCTGCTTTGTTTAGGTTTTCATCTCCATTTATTTAAAAGAGTAGCTTTTGCTTCACAAAAGCTCCCCTTGAAGAGCCAAGTCTGCCAAAGCCCTTTCAAAGAGTGAAGCGAGTGAGCATGGTGCAGAAGACAAGAGCTGTAGATGAAGAACAGGGATTCCTGGGTCTGCTCCTGAATCTGCCATTGGTGACCTTTGGGACCTTAGACACATTCCTTCACTTCCATGGACCCCAATTTCCTCAGCCGTAAAAATACGCCCAGATTTTACTTAACACCAGAGAATCCTTGACGGCACATGATGCCGGGACACCATCTTTGAATATCACATTGCAATTACCATATCAGTGAAAATCGAGGGGTCTCAGCAGTCTACAAGGTCTTGAGTCCTAACAGTGTGCCATGGAAGCCAAAAATAAGCTAAATGCCAGCTGAGACTGCATCTCAAGCAAGTCAGTTTCTCCAATGAGAGAGGTGAGAGTCTTTCACTACTTCTTACTTTCTGTCTTGGTCAGATCAGGTCTCAAATATCTCCATTCTGGATATCCCACCTCAAGACGACCATTCCTGGTCAGCTAGAGAGCCAACAGGGGACTGGATAAATGTAATCTGGAGAAGGGAAGACGGGGGGGGGGGGTGGAGACACCTTAAGAGCTACCCTAGTATTTGAATGACCAACATGTAGAGCAGAAGGGTCAGCGATTCTACTTGGACCCAAAGGTCAGAACCGGGAACAACACACAAAAACTACAAAGTCAGATTCAGGCTTCAAGCAAAGAAGAATTTGCTCAACAAAATTACCCAAAAGTAGAAAGGGCTATCTTTAGGAAACAGTGACACCTCCTCCTTACCAGAAGTCTTCAAAAAAGGCTCACTTGGTGAGGATGTAGTAGAGCATTTCTTATTCATTTAGGAGCTGGACTGGATAGGCCCTGAGATCACTTCCTCCCCTCTGAGATTATCTGAGAATGCTTGACCAAATTTGAAATTTCAGTTTCACTACTGAATTCTTCTTTTGTATACAAACTACCCAATCCAATTGTCAGACCCACTCGCTGTCAGTGACCACCGATAGACTGTGCAGAATGGGAAGTATGTGTCAGGACTAATTGTCCTGATTTTCCAAATGTCTTGATTTTCAAAAAACGGGAAGAAAACAAAATCTGAAAACTACAAGCTCAATGTGATGCCTAGAAAAAGTGACAGAATGCATATTCAAAAGTTTAAACATCTAGAACAGGACAGTGTGATTGAGAGTCAATAAGATCTTCATCAAGAACAAGTCGATCAGACTTAAAGAACACTTCCTTTTTTCACAGGGTCACTAAAGCCAATTCAGAGGAGCTACATAGACACACTTGACCTAGATTATAGGAAAGCCTGTGACACAGTTTCACAGTTTCTATCCTTGTAAATAAGGAAGAATATGGGGCCAGCCAATAGTTCAGACTCGGGTTGAAAGTATGGACCCAAAAAGCAGTCATTTAATGGTCCCACAGTAACTTGAGAGACAGTCTACAGTGGTATGACCCCAGGATCTGGGCTTGTCCCTTGCTACTGTATGTTGTTATAGATGACCTGGATGAAGGTCTAGAGAGCTAGCTTATCCAGCGTGCAGCTGAGAAAAACTGGGAGGGATCCCAAAAAGCCTCAAGAGGCTGGAACACTGGGATGAATCAAATGAGATGAGGCCTTACACTGGAGTTCCAAAAACCAATTTCACAAGTACAAAACAGAGGAGGCTTGGCTAGAGGGCAGTTCATTTGAAGAGATTCAGGATTTTGGGGTAAACTCAAAATGAATCAACAATACAGCATGGCAGCCCAACAAGGTAATCAATCCTAAGTTCCCTTCCCATAGAGAGCAGACAGAATGAGTCGAGCATTAACCTGTCTCTCTCCTGTCAGTTCCCACCTGCAGTGCTTCTTCCAGTTTGGGGCATCACGTTTTTAGTAGCTGGAGAATAACTACAGAAATGCTACCATGCCAGTAAAAAGCCTCAAGATCCCACCATAAGAGTTAGTTGAAGAAACTGGGGAAATTCAGCAGGCAGAAAAGACTCAGGGTAGAATGTGACGGTCACCAAGTATCTGAAAGGCCCTAATGTGGAAAAGGGATTAGCCTTGTTCTGCCAGGCACTATAAGGTAGATCTAGAAACACGGGTTAAAGTGCAACAGAAATAGATTTTGCTTGATAAAATAAGACATCCTAACGATTAATTATAGCTACCCCCAAAATACAATGCACTATCTCAGGAGACAGCAGGATTTTCCTCTCATAAGATTTTCAAAGAAAAGCTAGATTGCAGATGGGATTCTTGTTAAGATACAGACTAAACTGGATCAGGGTTTCCTTACCTTTTTTTGTCTCATGTAACCCTCTGGCGGCCTAGCAAGGAAAGACTGCGGCCCATTTTTTAGGATGTTTTTAAATGCATAAAATAAAATACATATGATTACAATGGAAACCAATTTTATTGAAACAGTTATCAAAATATTTTAAAAAGGAGCTCACGGGCTCCAGGTAAAGAGGCCAGCTCTAGTTTTTCATCAGGGTCCCTTCAACCTCTGAAATATGACTAGAAAGGAAGGAGGTTCCTTCCATTTTATTTCAGTGTTCATCTCAGTTAACTTCCCTTTCACAGACAGATACTATGGCAATAAAAGTCATGGAAGTACAAATAGTATGTATACTGGCCTCAGGGAGAAGCCCCAGTGAGCTGCTCTTCCGGACGCTTCACTCAAAAGCACTCTCTCCTAACGAGTAATTGCACGGGCTCTTCTTCATTAACCTGATTATCAAAGCAACCTCGACCAACCTCTCTTTCTTTGACTATTCGCCTGGGCCTCGTCCTCACTGACGGTCTCTGCAGGGCCATCAAGCTTTGCTTCCCGGGTCTCTTTACTGTCACTGGCAGCTCTCTTCTCAATCTTCTCTTCCTTTTCTCTTCTGTTCTGTGGCTTCTTACTCGGTTGACTGGTAACATTCTGGCACTGTATAAAATTTTGATGAATGAATTATCATAATAATACTACGATCATTATAACAGATATTAAAAGATGTGAGAACACCTAATGCTAAAAATAAAATCAATAAACCAACCCAAAAATGCCACCGAGAGCTAAGAACATACTAGGTCCTATAGATGCCAACAACACTGCCTGAAGTTATTTCAGCTCTTGTAAAGTCTATGTAGTCAACTTAAAAACATCTGGATGAAGTGATCACATGTTAATGTGAAACATCTGCCTAAGCTTTTTACAATGGTCAGTTTTTTTGAGCAGATGAGTCTATATGATACAGTAGAAGACAGACCATGGGTTCAAGTCCTATTTCCAAAAGCAGAGAGTTTTGTGTGACTTGGGCAAGTAATCTGATCTCTAAGTGACCCAGGAAACTCGTGTCAGACTCTAAGTTACCATGCAAATTGCTGATCTGCTATCAGTGAAGGGAGTTCTAGATCAGGAGCTCCCCACACTGATGAAATCACAGGTTCGGACCCAAGAAAAAAATCAAAGAAAGCTCTCCTACCACAGAATTGTCCAGATTTTCAGGGAAAGGCTTAGAGACCCAAGAAAGCTGCAAGCCAGCCCATCAGGGTCCATGTAAAGAGTTAAACCATTAGAATCTCAATAATTTTTTTTGGATTTATGTCAAATGCAAAAAACAGTGTGTTTCATTTAATCAGCAGACGACACCTAATTAATGTAGAAATTACAAATACATCACAAAATTCTCTAAGTTACCAAAAACACTGGGACCCCTGGTAGGCAGGCTTCACACACTCATCACAAACCACTAAAATAATTGATTAACACCAACAGTGAACTTTCCAGATTTATTTCAAATTATTCCCCTTCAACAACTCTATTTTAGCCGAACAAGCTTCTAAGTTGCCACTCCTCTAACAGCTCATTCTATTTCCCACCTCTATACTACTGCATGGACTTTCCACTATTTCTAAAGTCTATTTCCGGGGGCAGCTAGGTGGTGCAGCGGATAGAGCACTGGCCCTGGATTCAGGAGGACCTGAGTTCAAATCCGGCCGCAGACACATAACACTTACTAGCTGTGTGACCTTGGGCAAGTCACTTGACCCCATTGCCTAGCAAAAGAAAAAAAAAAACAAAACAAAACAATGAAGCCTATTTCCTTCCTTGCTTCATTCTGTTAATAGTCTTAGCTTCCTCCAAGTACATCAGCTCAGGTACTGCCTCCTAGGAGAAAGCCTTTCCTGATTCCCTGAGTTGTTAGTATTCTCTCCTTCCACAAACTGAATGTACATATGTACAACAATGCTGGATTTGGAGTCTAAAGACTTGGCCATTCAAGTATTTCTCTGATATCTACTAGATGGGTAACCCTAATCAAGTCACTCTTCATGTCTGGGGCAGACTTGGTTTGGGGGAAGAGTTCTTCATGCTGACAAAAATCACAGATTCTTTGAGTCTGCATCCCATCAAAGAATTTAATCTCCTTAAGGGGAAGTCTGTTTTTTATCTTTAGTCTAGGTCTACTGCTTAAAACAAACTGGACAGGTATTAATCTTTTACTAAAATTCAAACACTCTTACACCTTGATTCCTTTTAATTTAAAGGAACTGTGTGTCTTCATGCTACTAATACCGGCATCAGAGATACACAGATCACATTACTATGACTGTGGTAAATATAATGAGTGATGTAAAACTTTGATGCTGTGTAAAAAAAAAAATTCAACTACGCAGAACAATAGTGAATCACCTGGGTTCCAATCCTCTTCCTAAGTGACTATACATGACTTTTGTGAGAAACAACTGAAATAACAACTGTGAGGCACATTAAAAGCTATATAAACGCTAGCTGAGCCCAAGTTAAACTGTAAAATGAAGAGATTAAGACCACTTGATTTCTATAATACCTTCTAGCTCTGAATCCTATGACTGCAGACTTTGCAAGCTAACAATTACCTAAATTATATGAAAAGCATGTTGCTTTGTGATATCTAAGTTGAAACAGCCTTTTTCTTACTTAAAAAGTTCCAAATATAGAATACTTACTTCATTGTTCACTAATTCGCTTGGTGTTGGCCAATTTGTGATGTCACTGAAATCACTAGCCTGCAAAACAACAAAAAAAATTACTCTGAAATGTAATAAAAAAAATACTTCTACGTAATACATATATAGAAAAAAGTCTCTGAAAAAAAAGTTATAGCAATTTAAGAGAAATAAATCAAGCAAATTTAAATCATACATGCACCTAATGCATAATCAGGGGGAAAAATTGTCGAAGATCAAAAAAATACCTTTCAAAATAATAATTGCTGAATGTTAAAACTATAGTTCTCTAGAATAAATTAATGCACTGAAAAATTTCATCTATTTCTTCTTCTCTCTCCATATATCCATTAACAAGGGCAGCTAGGTGGTGCAGTAGATAGAGCTCCAGCCTTGGAGTCAGGAGGACCTGAGGTCAAATCTAGCTTCAGACATCTGACACTTACTAGCTGTGTGACCCTGGGCAAGTCACTTAACCCGAATTGCTTCACCAAAAAGCAAAATCACACTAACAAACATATATCCATTAACATACAGTTTTTATTTTTATCCTAATTGAGCTTATCCAAATGGCATACTGAAGGGGGAAAATACTTCTACGCTAATCACAAAAATAACTATAAAGATCCAGAAACTCTTAACATGATCAATTTAAATTTATTTCTTGAAAAAAGACATACCTTGTTGGTTTTCTTTGTCTTGGGTTTTCCTGCTTTTATAATTTTTGCGGAACTTAGTTCTAAGGAAAAAATGATAATGTTATTTGCTTTTGTGACTTTGATTTCAAAATTATTTTTTCAGAAGCAAAAAAAATCAACTGCAGTTGTTCAATTAAACCATTCAATTTCACAGTCCATAACAGGTACACTCATCACAACTACTTCTCCCATTAAGAAATCACAAGGTTCAATTGATAAATTGTCAAAGTATATGAATAGGCAGTTCTCAGGTGAAGAAATTAAAGTCATTTATAGTCAGATGAAAAAATGCTCTAAATGACTATCGAGTAGAGAAATACAAATCAAAACAACTCTGAGGTACCGCATCACACCTATCAGATCGGCCAAGATGACAAAACAAGAAAATGATAAATATTGGAGAAGATGTAGGAAAATTGGAACACTAATGCATTGTTGGTGGAGTTGTGAGATGATCCAACCATTCTGGAGAGCAATTTGGAGCTACGCCCAAAGGGCTATAAAAATGTGCATACCCTTTGACACAGCAACAGCACTCCTAGGGCTATATCCCAAAGAGATCATACAAATGGGAAAAGGACCCACACGGACAAAAATATTCATAGCAGCTCTTTTCATGGTGGCAAAGAACTGGAAATTAAGAGGATGCCCATCTGTTGGGGAATGGCTGAGCAAGTTGTGGTATATGAATGTAATGGAATACTACTGCGCTATAAGAAATGATGAGCTAGCAGACTTCAGAAAAATGTGGAAAGACCTGCATGGACTGATGCTGAGTGAAGTGAACAGAACCAGGAGAATGTTGTACACAGTAATAGTCATGTTGTGTGATGACTAATATTGATAAACTAAACCCTTCTCAGCAATACAAGGATCTAAGACATCTCCAAAGGCCTTGTGATGGAAAATGCTATCCATACACAGAGAAAGAACTATGGAGTTTGAATGCAGATCGAAGCATACTATTTGCTATTCTTTTTCTTCCGTTTTGAGTTTTGTTTCCTCTTTCTGGTGGTTCCTCTTATTGGTTCTAATTCTTACTTACAATATCACTAATGTGCAAATGTTTAATAGGAATGTATATGTATAGCCTATATCAGATTGTGCGCAGTCTTGGGGAAAGAGGTGGGGAGGGAGGGGGAGAAAAATTTTAAACTCAAAAGCATATGGAAGTGATTATTGATAAATCAAAATAAATTAATAAAAAAAAGAAATCACAAGGTTCATGATATGATTTTCTAGCAACAGGACCATTGTAATTCATATCTGCAGCTTCAAAACCAGCAGTACCCTTGATAGACCATACAGCTATAATATATAACCAAGTATTCCTAACAAAATAACTTCCAAAATTAAACTAAATATCTCCCTTTCTTGCCCCAAAAGGCTCAAAAGTGCAGAAGCTACTCATAGGCTGATGTCACTGTTCATTGGTACAGTGGCTTTGAATCTATTTCCAATCTGGGCTGGTTCACAGCTTCCTAGGCAGCCTGCCCCTCTCCCCACCCTACTCCTAGGGGCTCACCAGATTTATTCTGAACTCAGGTGTAGAAAACAAATTGGCTTAACCTGACTGCAGCTCAGAATTCCAAAGCTCAAGCAAGCCATCCACCAGCCTCAGCCTGTACAAGAAGGACTGACCACAAGTGGGCATTACTCCCCTCAGCCTAACATGACTTTTCCAACAGATTCACAAACCACAAATGAACTGATAAAGTACGGGATAATTTGTTCAAAGGAATACAAACCACTTCAAAAAGAAAATTTTAAAAGTAACATTTTAAGGACTGTAAAAACTGGCAGTACTATAAATTGTTCCAATCATTCTGGAAAGCGATTTGATATTAGTCTAAAAAGAGACTACAGTGTTTATACCCTTTGGCCTAGAGATCCCACCCCAGGGAAGTAAAAAATAAAAATAAAGGCCCCACATACACACAAATATTTATAGCCACACTTCTGGTAGAAACAAAAACCTGAAAGCCAAGTAAATATTTATCAGTTAGAGAATGGCTAAACAAGTAGTTAATGGACATGGACAGAACCAAATATTACTGTGCATTATGAATAGATGAAAACAAAGGATACAAACATGGGAAGAGATATATACAGATGGAAAGTGAAATGAGCAAAACCAGGAAAGCAGTACAGACAGACAATGCCTAAGCCAATGTAAAAATAAAGAATACTTTTTTTTGAAAAATTGAAAACGTCATGTCATAATGACCAAGCTTGATGCCCAAGAAATAAAACATTGCACTTTCCTCCCTTCTTTGCAGAGGTGCGGGGGCTATGAATGTGGAACACTGAATATAATGTCATGACTTGACTGATTAACTGCTTCCTTCCCTTTTTCTCCATTCTTAGTTAAAAAGGATGGGGGGTGGGGCATGTTGGGAAAGAAGATATAAAGAAAAAAAATAAGAATGGCTCTGCACACTAGACACTGAAGATCATGCCAACAGAACTGAGAAGAGAAGCAGACCAGACCCACATCTCTCACAGCTATGGGTAAGGGATAAATGCTTTCACCAACAAGGCATAGAAGCAATTACAAAAGACAAAACATATAATTTTGGTTACATGTAATTGAAAAGCTTTTGCTAAAATAAAATTAAGTATCTAGAATAAGCAAAGCAACTGACTGGGAAACAATTTCCTACCAAATCCCTATTACAAATTTAATATCAAAGATTTCCCAACAGTCATTCCCCAATAAAGGGGTCAAAAAATATGAACAGTTCTCAAAAGAATTATCATAGATTCACAATCATATGAAATATTCCAAATTACTGAGAGAAAATCTAAACAACCCTGAAATTTCACCTCACACTCAGCAAATTGGCAAAGAGGACAAACGATGGAGTTTGTCGTGGAAAGATGCTGTGATCTGAGACAACTATTCTGAAAAACAATTTGGAATTAGGTTAATGAAGTGACTAAAAAATCCGTACCATTTGAATCCAGAGATTCCACTTACAGGCACCCCCAGTGAGGTGAATGACAAAAAGAAAGCCTCCATATACACCAAAATACTTGTAGCAACATTTTGGGGAGTAGCAAAGAACTAGAAACAAGGTAGTTTTAGTCTTTCCCTATGCTATGGACCAGGGAAAGACTAAAAACGTTGTTACATTTTGGGGAGTAGCAAAGAACTAGAAACAAGGTAGATGCCTATCAACTAGGGAAAGACTAAAAAAGTTGTTACATAACTAAAAAAGGGATAATGGAATAGTCTCATGCTATTAAAAAAAAAAAACAAAAGGTGATAAATACAAAGATATGCGAAAAGGCTGAAATGAACTGATGTAAAATGAATCAAGGAAGGGCCAGGAAAACTATACATAACTACAACAATGCAAATAAAGAGCCACAAGAAATAGAAACTGAATGTTGCAAAATTATACAGACCAAGTTTGGCCTCACAGAAGAGATATAAGAAAACATTGTCCACTCTCTCCTTCCTCCTTTGCAGTGGTTGGAGTCCGCTGGTGAAAAACACTGACTAGAACAAAAGACATTTTTTCAATTTGGTGATTGGTTTCGCTTAATTTTTTCTTCTTTTTTAAAAAAGAAATCTTTGTTATGAGTTAGCTCTCTGGGAAGAGGAAATAGAAAAGTTATAGGGGAAGACATAGACAATATAATAAGACCAATAAAAATCTGATTTTTGCTTTTAAAATATCAATGAAGGTTTTTTTAAAGTGTCCTCAAAATGTAACTTGTTTTTACATTCTCATGAAATTAAATGGCCTTACTAAAGATAAATTTCCACAACTATCTTTTACAGATACACAAGAACTGGAAAGCAATAGATGGAAGGTTTGAAAGACTTTCAAAAAAAACTATACAAGTTGAGCACCATGGTTTTGGTTAACCCCAGAGTCAAGCAGGTCATAAAGAGGTACAAGCAGAAGTAAGCCCTAGGATCATTCATCCTTCTCTTGAATAAAGTTAACAGGGGGCAGCTAAGTGGCATAGTGGATAGAGCACTGGCCCTGAAGTCAGGAGGACCTGAGTTCAATTCCAGCCTCAGACCAAACACTTGACACTTACTAGCTGTGTGACCCTGGGCAAGTCACTTAATTGCCTAAAAAATCTGGGTTACCAAAAAAGTCCCTGGGCAAGTCCCCAGAAGCCTAAAAAAAAAAAAAGAAAAAGAATACAGGTTAACAATAAGTAACCCAGATAGCCTACATACTATCTACCTGAAAAAACTTTTAAATTCCTTTTTAGTTTGATTCATTACACACCAAGATAGCCTGCCTGGTAACAAGATTTCCTGTACATGACTTAAATGAACTGCAAAATGGGACAAACTTCAGATCTATGAATACAGATTCTGCAAAACAGTACAATGGTTTACTGTGAGTTCTAGTGATGATATACAAATTTACCTCGTGCTAAAAATGGTGCATAGTGAAAAGAAATTAAAGGCAGGAAGGCCAAGTGTAACCAACAGCAGTACTAAGGGCAAAAAAAAAAAGTACTGTGCAATTGACAATATGTATTTTTTTAAAAATCTTCTTACAAAAGAAAGGGCATCTCAAGCTCACAGTGAAACAACTTAACTCTGCCTTCTTTAAGGACAAGTAGCATTATCACCTGAAAAACTCTCAATTTCTTGCTCTGTAAAATAGGGAGCAGAATGACAACAGAAATGCAGGTAGAAAATATCTTAATAATGCTACGAAAATACTGCTTATCTATGAAGAAATGTTAAAACATGTATAGATTTTATGCAAACAAAAATGGAAAAGATTTTCCAAAAAAAAAAAGTAATCCCTTTTTTTCAGTGTTTGGCAGCTGTAAGTATATTTATATTTTCTTTCTGGGAGATTAGGAGAACTGAAAAATAACATCATGCAAAAAGCAAAGCAAATTTTTTTAGCTGACTTCATTTATCAGTGAAATAAAGACCTTGCAGGAAATAAAAACATTTACTCTCCATCATTCCAACCACACCTACTACTACTACCATCTAAATTTCCATTCATTCTCACAGATAGACAGAATTTTCATGTTGGAAGGGTGAATTTCA